CCAGGCCGGCGGCGGGCGACGAGGAGCCTTCCGAGCACGTGGAGCTGCACAGGCCCTGGCCAGCCCAGAGGGCAGCGCCCCCCGACCCCCGCCACCGCCCCGCTCCACGCCAGCGCCTGCCTCGTCACCGTCCCCACCTTCCCGCAGAGGCTTGAGTGTGCGGACTGGACACGTGCACGTGGGCGAGGATTTAAACCTCGGTGCATTTTTTTTCACTTCCCGGCAACCATCAAACGGGAACTTCTGCCCAAGCCGTCTCCTCCCCTCTGGGGAAAAAAGGGTGTGTGTGTGTGTGCGCGCGTGCGCGTGCGCGCGCGTGCCTGTGTCGGTGCAGGGGTGGCAGCACCCTCTGGCGCGCTCCCGTGGAGAGCCTAGTTTCTAGGAGAGACTGTGGAAGACCTCGCAGCTCTCTAACGAGGGGACGAGTGGTCCCCGGGACGCCCACCGCCCAGGCCCTCTGGATGCCCTGCTCTGTGCGGGGCGCCCGCGCTGGGTGTGCCTCGTCCCCACGAAAGGCTTCCAGGTTGGGCTCAAGATACAAAGCTCCAGGCCCGCGGCCCTTCCCAAGGCTCTGGGAGTCACGGAGTGTAAACGGAGATCGTGGCCTCAGGGGAGCGGGAGATCCCTGACGACGCCTCTTCCCACCCCAAACTGTATTCTGAAGTGTGAGGGGTGTGCGGTGCAGCACGCGCGCTCCTGTGTGCGTGCGTGCGCGTGTGTGTGCGTGTGTGTGTGGAATGTATATGTTTATCACATACTTAAAACGGTTCGTCACTCAAAACAGGATAAAAACTGCTGCTTTGGACCTAAGTACCCAAGCGTTTTCGGGTGGGTGTCGCCGTCCATCTGATGGCCTCGCCAGCGAGCACAGAAGCTGAACCTGGGAGGCTTGTCCCCTCCTTGGCTGTGAACACGAACCGAGATGGGGGGCTTCTGGAGGAGAGAGAGAGAGCTAAGGAGGCCGGGATGGGGGGGGGGGTCTGGGTGAGGGGACTTAGGAGGTGAACTAGTGGACGAATTGGCTGGGACTCCGGCTGGTGAAGCCAAGCGTTCCAGTACAGAGAGGAACTCTGTACGGGGTGTTCTGAGCTACATTCGGGGTTTGGGGTGCAAGGTGAAAGCCAGGGGCTGGGATTCGCGGCTCCTGCGAGACCCCCTCGCCCCCCTAAACTGTGTGGCGGAGCTGGCAGGCCCCCGCAAAGGTGGGTCACTCCTGCCGAGCCCCACGTGCCCCGCATCCCACGCTGTTTACGCGCGCGGATTCCAGGCGCGCGGGCGCCGCCGGCCCACCGCGCCCTGGGCGCACGCAATGCGGAGACACCATGGGGTCGCCGGGGAGGAGCCGGCACGGACGATGGCATGGTAACCCGGACCCGCATCCCACAGCGGCCAATCTCGCTGCTCACATCCCCTGCCCCTTCGGCGCCGGGAGCCTCTGAGTGGTCCCCGCCCCCCATCTCCTGCTGCGAGGGGCGCGCTGCGTGGGGGAGTAGGTAAATCATTGGCCAGAGGCGGCTTCCCGGTTCTCCGTCCGCTTCCCCGCCACCTGACTGCACCTGGGGCTGCTGGGGCGACGCAGCCCCTCAGGGACCTGCCACCAGGTAACAAGGCCCCGCCCGTCCCGCGTCTGGGCGTCTGTCTGCGCCCCCGAAAGGCTGTTCTCCCAGGTTCTGAGTCGGTTCTCCCCCAGAAGGTTAATCGTCATCCCCATCTCCTTGCACGGCCGGGAGGGAGAGAGACCTCACGCCTGCCCGCTGACCCGCCGACAACACCCCCCTTCACCCCGGAGCGCAGAGCACACCCCAAAGTGCCTGGCTCCCTCGCCCGCCGGGAGAGCCCAGAGTGAGGAAGGACCAGGAGGCGCGGGCGGATGTGAGGGCGGCGATCAGTGGCCTGGCCGGGTTCCCGCACCAGCCGCCACCCCGCGCCGTCTGTGCAGACTCCGGCTGGCGACCGCGTCTTTTAGGTCCGCGCTCCGGGAAGGCCGCGGCCGGCTGGCGACCGGAGCCCAGGGCGCACCGCGGGACTCCGGCTCCCGGCGGGGCCGGAGCCTCAAGATGCTGGGGCTTTATGAGGTTCAGTAACTGGCGAGGCCTCCATTAACACCTCCCCGGATTATTGAGAGGCTGGAAGGGCGGGACGGAGCGCGTCTCGGGGCACCCGCCGGGGGTGGGGTACCCTCTGCCCTCCCCCTTCTTCCCCCCTCCCGAGCTGGAAGCATAAACAGAAAATAAAAGGCAGGGGGAGGGAGCTGCGGGTCAGAGGTGAGGGATTCGGGTGAGAGAGAGGGAGGGAGCGGGGAGAGAGGGAGAGAGGAGGAGGGAGGGAGGAGAGAGAGAGCGAGAGAGAGCGAGAGAGAGAGCGGAGCGAGAGAAGAGAGAGAGAGAGAGAGAGAGAGAGAGAGAGCGAGAGAGAGAGAGAGAGAGAGAAGGTTCCCACCTAACGGTTTATTTTGGGGGATTAACAGGACCCTCGGCGAGACCTGGGGACCGGCCATCAGCTCCGGCCGCCGCCTCGCCGAGGACCGGGGTCTTGAGGGAACCTGGACCTCAAGGTGAGCCCCGGATGG